GGGGGGCTCGGCTGGATCGGGCCGGGGGGGGGCTCCCTGCTGCTGCGCCCGCAACGTGCGGGGAGGAAGAGCGAGCTGCGCAGCCGCAGATCCCACACGGGGCGGGGCCGCCGAGCAGGCCCCGCCCCCGGCGCTGGGTCCCGACGAGTTCTCCTGTAAAACGCAAACTGAGGCGTGGGGGTCACAGGGTGCAGGGACACCCGGGGGCCAGGGGGTCGCAGGGACACCCGGGGGTCAGGGGTCACAGGGTGCAGGGACACCCGGGGGTCAGGGGGTCACAGGGACACCCGGGGGTCAGGAGGTTACTAGGGTCAGAGTCTCAGGGGGAGCTTAGTTGGTGGGGTAAAGGGGGTCACAGGGCTCAAATGCCCTTTGCCTTCCTGGGGTGGCCTTGGCTCTCTCCCCCCACACCCAGCCCCCTTGGGTGCTCTGCTCCTCGATCTAGCCGAGGAAGATACACCACCATCTAAATGCTGGGAGTTGGAGTTAGACAAACTCAGACTGGAAATAAGTGTAAATTTGTTACAGTGAGAGTAAGTAACCATGGGAACAACTTCCTGAGGGTCATGGTGGAGTCTCCATCACTGATCATTTTAAAATCAAGATTGGATGTTCTCCTAAAAGATCTGCCCTAGGAATATTTTGGGGAAGTTCCATGGCCTGTATTATAAAGGAAGTCAGGCTAGATGATCACAATAGACCCATCAGGCCTTAGAATCTATTAAATGGGGCAGGGGTGTTAAAGCCAGGCTGGGTGCAGATCCACAGAGTTCTGTGGGAGAGCCATCCCTGTACCCCAGTGTGACAGTCTACACTGTTAAGTATCAGAGGGGTAGCCGTGTTAGTCTGTATCCACAAAAACAACGAGGAGTCCAGTGGCACCTTAAAGACTAACAGATTTATTTGGGCATAAGCTTTCGTGGGTAAAAACCCCACTTCTTCAGATGCATGGAGTGAAAATTACAGATGCAGGCATAAATATACTGATACATGAAGAGAAGGTCACCTTACAAGTGGAGAACCAGTGTTGAGAGGGCCAATTCAATTAGGGTGGATGTGGTCCACTCCCAATAATTGAGGAGGAGGTGTCAATACTAAGAGAGGGAAATTGCTTTTGTCATGAGCCAGCAACTCCCAGTCCCTATTCAAGCCCAAATTAATGGTGTTAAATTTGCAAATGAATTGTAGCTCTGCAGTTTCTTTTTGAAGTCTGTTTTTGAAATGTTTTTGTTGAAGTATGGCTACTTTTAAATCTGTTATAGAATGTCCAGGGAGACTGAAGTGCTCTCCTACTGGCTTTTGTATGTTACCATTCCTGATGTCTGATTTGTGTCCATTTATTCTTTTACATAGAGACTGTCCGGTTTGGCCAATGTACATGACAGAGGGGCGTTGCTGGCACATGATGGCATATATCACATTAGTAGATGTGCAGGTGAATGAGCCACTAATGGTGTGACTCCTGTGGTTGGGTCCTCTGATGGTGTCACTAGAGTAGATATGGGTACAGAGTAGGCAACGGGGTTTGTTACAGGGATTGGACCACTGTTATGGTCACCACTTTTTCAAAATTATGATGAATCTTGAACAAAGTATGTCTTGTGAGGTATCACTGGAAAAGTCATAATCTAATATGTACATTTCAACAGGAATGTGAATCGTCATTGTATATGAAGTTATGAGATTTTTGCTATAGATTTGTTACTGAAACATGTTGTGAGTCTGGGAAACAGCCACAGACCAGTTCCTTAGAAATAAGGACTTGTGAACACAAACCTTACATGTCAAGCCTCACGTACCCAAAGGATGTAAGCAAGAATTTTCAATTAATACGAAGGACTGAATGCAGGGCACATAGGCAACGGGGCTGCCTAACCACATGACACAGTAAGGATTTTTCCAGCACCTGGAGGAGAGTATAAAATAAGGGACAGTGACATCACCAGGCCACCTCTCCTCCCTTCCTCCCCCCCCCCCCCCCATTGAAAGTAACAAGATTGTTTGAAAGACATAGAAACATTTGAACTGGGTGGGAGTGGTCCTAACTGGAAAAAGTTTCCAGTTGGCACAGCCTGCTGTAGGGTTTGGGGTAAGAGAAACTTTATCACTTCAAATTTGACTTAGCTTGGTAAAGTTTAGGAATTAGACTGCAATTTTATCCTTCATTTCTTTTTGTAATCACTTCTGATTTTCTATGCCTATACCATTTCTAATCACTAAAATCTATCTTTCTGTAGTTGTTAAACTTATTTTAATGTTTTAGCTAAGCCAGCGTGTATTTGACTGAAGTTTGGAGAATCTACTCGGGTTACAAAGGCTGGTGCATATTCGTACCCTTTGATGGAATGACAAACTAATTAATGAGTTTACTCTGATGAAGGGGGTCTTGAGCAAGGTCTGGGGCGTCAGGCTGGCACAACGGATATGCAGGTGTCGCCCTATTTGTAATTCAAGAGTGGCTAGGCATAGCGTTCTGGTATATGTCTGGGGGTGACTTGCATGCTGGAGGCTGGGTGAGTGGGCAGAGTGGCAACTCATACCGCAAAGCAGGGCTTAGTGCGCACCAGACTGGAGAGTTAAGGGGGCACAGCAATTCCACAGTCCAAAATGTATCTGGGGCATGTCACACTCAGTCAATGGGCTCTCTGCAGTATTATCAATGCCAAAAGTTCATAAATCTTGAGTTGGTCCCCAAAGTCACAAGACTGGCTTAAAAATCATTAGTTTTTTTTTAAGGTGGCATCTTTTTATTTGGCTTCTGGTTTTTAACCTGTAGGTCACACTGGGCGTCACATTTGCAAACTCTTCTCCTCAACCATGAGGGCTGGCAACTTAATTGTTTCTCTTAATCCTAGTTGAGATTCTCAAGTAGTCAGTTATCTCCAGGCACTGGGACTTTAAATAGAATATCAAATATTGTGAGACTTGTAATAAAATTGTGAGACTGGGTAATAACACTGTTTCTGTGACCTAATAGGGCTTTTCATTTCAACGTCTGTGATTCATTGTGGAGTTACACACCTTTCGGGAGGTTGGCAAACACCCCAATCCTCAGTTCAGCATAATGACACAACAGTCTGATGCAAGCCCCTTCATAGTGAAATGGAGGTGGGGAACACAGAAGATTTTGCAGCATGTTAGGGTATTTGTCATCTGAAAAAAAATCAAACAAATTGATTTTTGTTTTGTTACAGTGACGATGCCTCCCTAAATTAATATTATTATGTTAATCTGTGATAAAATCATTTTATTCTATTGAAAATATTTGACTTTGAAACTGTGTTGCACAGTTGAAACTGTTGAGAGAATTTAATAGCTTAAAACAACTGTGATTTGGTGTGCTGTTTTCTCAGCATCCTACAGAAGAGAGTTTTGGCTCAAAAAGTCTTCTGGGGCCAGTTTAATTCAGGTGATATTTCACTAGGACCCAGACTTGTCTATAGCGCTAAAGGCAGTGTCTAGAATTCAAGGGTTTAGATAGATATTGAGGAGAAGGGATCACATCTGGGATCTCCACATTTGCATCTGTCTTCAGACACCTTGGAAGTGCCTTTCTTGTTCACGGTGGCAGCAATCTGTCTTCTAATGAAAGGGTGGGGCCTCCCGCTGAACACTCCCCTTCTCTAGTTCCCTCCCGACAGTTCTCTGTAATGTGGAAAGTATGCATGTTTCCCCATTGCAACTTCTTTGGCTGACATTGCCACATTTATAAACAGCCTTGTGACTTGATCCAATTACAGCACCCTGGGACCTCGGAAATTTTACCAGAAACCCTTATTTGGCTGTACCACTAAGATTTATTTATGAAAATAAAACCTAGAATACTTGACTAAAACTTCTGCAGATATTTATCTATTCCTTGCCAAGCTGTGGCAAAGTCAAAAATACTAGAAATAAGTTCTTGCAGTGTTAAGCAACATTCTTTTATTGATTCTATTACTTGCTATACTGAGATATGTATCAATCAAGAGTCTGATATTGGCTGTGAGTGTTATGACAACATAATTGCATGTTACTGAAAATCTGTGACTGGTAACAGATTTGTCACATCTCTGCAGGTTCCTGTCTTCATACCTTATCAGTAGGAGACTGGGAGCCGGAGAAGCAACTGGAAAGCCACAGGTGAAAATAGACCCTTGAGTTTCTGCTTCTCTATAAACAATAAAAGTGTTGCCCATAGCCATAGATACCATGGGCTTAATCCTGCTTCCATTGAGGTCAATTGTAAAACTCTCATTGACTTCAGTATGCGCAAGATCAGAGCCCTAAAATACATATATTTTTTGCCATGGCTTATTGTGGCTCATACTTTTGCTTTGTCCTGCCTTTCCTCTCTTCCACTGGTTGGAAGCATCATCTGTTCTCTTGATGTCATGCATGTTAGTGAATTCCAGGACTGATGTGGCAGCAGTGGTGAATGTCTTGTTTTCTCGTAGGGAAGTTTGTCTCTTTCCTATTAAGACTGTTGAGCTCTCTCTTGCTGATGAAAAGATAGAGGTTTTGTTTTCACACCAACAGCACAATCTCTTTATAAAATTAGAAGAGATGCCTCTGTTTAAAAAACAAACAAAAAATCTTATTGACAGTATGGAGGCTGGCTGGCTCAAAGAAATGGGTTATGGAGACTTCAATTTTTAGATTTAAGCTTGATTCTGACCTAGATCAGAAGTGAGTGAATATTGTTACCATTTTATGGCTGTTCAGTGACCTGTGAGAAAGTGGATTCAACCTACTTCCAAGTGGGCATAACCGCTTGTCATAAAATTCATCATCACAATTGGCACTATTTGGTCTTCTGTTTGGCAGTCTGAGCTCAGACACAAGTACAATCATTTTGGCTAGACTGTGCACCAAATAGTTTTATTTAGATTTGACTTTAAGGCTATAAGCTTCTTGGGCAGGGATTGTCTTTATTTTTCTGTCTTGAACAGGGTGGGGAACATAGTCAGCATTTAACAAATACATTGTATAATGAAACGTGAGAAATCTGTGCAGTTGGTGACCATGGGAAGTGCCTCAGGTCCCTATCTGTGACATGTGGATAGTACTTCCCTACCTCACAAGGCCACTGTGATGATAAAACCCATTAATGATAGTGGGGAGCTCAGATATTTGGCCCTCATCACCTAAGGTAAGTACCCAGATGGAGCAGAATCCCCAAATTACCACTTAACCTTGACTTGAGCTGTTGTTCCTTTAAAAATTACAACAGACTTTTACCACACTGAGGAAAGATATATTCAATGACTTGATGATGGAAAAACAAACTTTACTATGATCCAAGTGACCTTGCTAGTCTACACAAAGACTGAGTCACCAAGGAAGGAGTGACCCTGGGTGTAGAATCTGCAGAGCGACTTAAAGCTGAGATCTACTCAGTACAGCTCCTAGTAACTCAATTGGCAAAGACAGAAGACTCTGACAAAAGAGAAAATGTGAGGCTGCAATCCAAACTGATCTAAACCATAAACTTTGAGCTGCGCAATGGACACCACTCTTGAAATGGCTATTTGCCTCCAGTATCCTAGTTCCAAACAATTTGGCCGCGTTATTGCACGTCATGTGCCCAGTGTATCCTATATACCAAAACTAGACATGTACTAGAAAAAATACCAATGTGGCAAAGATTTTCCTTCCTTGTTACAATCCATCCACTTTTACAATGTTACCTTCTCTCCTGCTGTGAGGAGAAATTGAAAACCAGCAATGCACAAACCACACACAAATTGGAGGTTTGTTTCACAGATGCACCAAAAAGATACCTTAATTTTAGAGAAGGCATCCAGCTAGAATTGTGTGAACCTGTTAACCCTCTGGTTTTAATGAAAAATTCCAATCTGAGTGCTGACCTGGGAGTGGGTGGGTGTCATATATGACTTACTTGCTGCATTCCATTTCTTATAATTCATTGGCCTTTCTGCAACATTCCTTTCTTGGATTTATACCTTTCTATGGTCTTGAAATTCATCTGTGGGGTTCCCTCTTCTCATGGAACTACAATAAAGTTGTTTTCTATTCTTTGTATCTAGATCTTCACTTAGCACAAAATGGCCCTGCCAGACAGATTCCTTGTTTGATTTACTTAACTCCACTATTCACATTTGAAGGTTTCTACACTTCCTAAGCACCTCACTGACTATGATATCAGCTTAATATCTGATATGGCCTTTCTCAGAGGATTCTACCATGCCTTTGCAAAAGACAGACTCAAGGATTTAACAGGTCTCTTCATCTCTAACTACTGAGAACTTAAGTCCTTTTAAAGATTTTGCTATTATCTTATAAGACCCTTTTGGATCTTAGAAATTTTATGGTGCATTTTGTTCTTTTGAAGTTATGCGTGATAGATTTCCTGCCAGCAGGAATCTGCTTCAGTCTGGTCTGGACTTTGGGCAGGGACCCCAGCTCTCTGGGCTAGCTAGGGCAGGCCCCAATGAACAGAAGATGAGGGGGCAAAAGTGGCTGGTAAGTCCCTAACATTAAAATGCTTTTGTGGTCACATCCTCAGCTGATGTAAATGACAATAGCTCTATTTACGTCAATGGAGCTATGTCAGTTCACAGCAGCTGATGATCTGCCCATTTATGTTTTAAAGAGAGAAGAAAAATCCCAAACTCAAGCAAAATGTACCTTGTGCAGCCTGGCCTGTGGATGGGATCCTGGTTTGTGTCATGCTTGAGATGAACAGAATGCACAAATTATTTCTTTTCTCTGCCTTTAAATGTCAAAAATTAGTAATAGACAAAACCCTTGAAACATAAACTAATACATGAGAGACCTAATTAATTTAGAAAAAAGTGAGAAAATTGGGTTTTTTAAATTGTATCTAATGTAATTAGAATTTTGCAGTCCCGTTAGCAGCAAAAGAAGACTCTGTTGTAGACGTGGGTCTTTGTGAACTGACTGGCTATGTGGTGTGCTAAGGGCTAGAAATAGTAGGCAGATGAATGATCCTTCCAAAGCAAAATCACACAGTCCATTCAGATCTGTCAGTCTGTCCTCATTGTTCTCAGATGCTCCTGTTCACTGTCAAGTAAAGCAGATGATGAAACGCTAAAAGGCACCCAACACAAACAGCAATTCAGTAAAAGAGAGAAACAAAGATAACTGAGGAACTGCCTCCGTCCATAATAAAGGGAGGAACCAAGGAGAAAGCAAGTGGCCAGACGCTTCTTGTATTTAATATGTTAAAATGATTTACGAAAATTCACATTTTCTGCTGTGGGGCTCCCTACAAAATCCAGGATTGCAGAGCAAGAGCGTACTGCGATTCCTGGCTTGATGAGCACAACAGCTCCCAGGAGGTGGTGCTCCAGGGCAAGAGATGGAGGAGATTGGTGTAGCTATTTTCAAACTACCTTTAAGAGAAAGGATTCAATACAGGAAAAGTTTCACAAGGCTCATTCCCTTTCCAACTGCCGCCAGGACTTTCCCAAAGTACAGCAGCTAGTACGTCTCTCTGGTGACCTCAGGAAGAACAGTGGGAAGAGCAGCTCTGACTGAAGGCTATTGCTACCGTGAAGCCTTCTTATATCTTGTTGTAGCCCTGTTGGTCCCAGGAGATTAGAGAGACAAGGTGGGCGAGGTAATATATTTTATTAGACCAACTTCTGCTGGTGAAAAAGACAAACTTTCAAGCAACACAGAGTTCTTCAATATGTATTTTCCTCCCAATAAAGTTTAATTGAACTGAAACTGAATTAAATAAATTCCTCGGTTCATCTACCATTTTTATATCTGCCCTCCTCCCTTACACAACTCTGGGTTGAACTTTCTTCCTATTTAAACCAAAAACATTGGGTATTAAACTGAACTGATTCCACGGGCTCTCTGTGATAGTTTGGCTCTTTAATCACTGGCTGTATGTCCAAACAGAACTTAAAGGATAAAAGGAGACCTTGTCCATTCCCTGACCCTTAGGAGGAGAGTCCTGGTCTGCAGCAGGTACGCTATGTACATGTCCACTCTTTTCTAAAGCTGTACATTACATTGATGTGCTTTGTAAGGCATGTTGGAGAAAAAGCATAATGACAAAACTGGATTTAAAAAGATTGAGAATAAATGAACTCATCGTTAAGGGAGTTTGAAGGACCCTCATGTAACCTGAATTCCTCCTATGATTTTAGGGAGAGCTGGTTTTGGCCTTTTGCTGAACTGAATTTCTTTGGAAGATAGTTGGAATATTTTCGTAACTGTTTACGTCCATGCTTTGCAAATAATGCAAGCTGAGCCTCTGCTGTCACTCACTCGGGGCTATTTATGCAGTGTGGTAAGCCTATCTCCTTGGCTTGGAGCAGGGACTACTTTAGGGAAACATCATAAAAGGCTGTGAAGGAACACAATATTATTAGCACCACACATAAACCAGAGGTGTGGGGGTCACAATGAAATCAAAATGTAGCAGTTTGAGTGCTTCACAGGCAGTGGCAGTGCACGCTTCACACACCCCGCTCTCTACCAGTCCATCTATCTCTAGCCTTTTACATGGTCACCCATTGCAATGGTATCTGAGGGGTTGCATCTAAACTCTGCTTAGAAGGCCCCCTCAAGAAATTAGAAAGGGCAAAGGCTGAATGGCCCATTCAGTATCACTAATGCGACTTCTCAGTGCA